TTGTATTCATTTTATCCAGTAGTATTAAAGTTAAAAAATTTTATTTAGTATTGCAATTTATATACTATTAATTTTAAAATTATATACATATTGTCAGAGGCAGAATTGCTAAAACTGCTATGTCAAAATTAACGTCACAAAGCCCAAAAACATGATAAAAACCCAAACCAAAGCTCCCAGGAAATGGTGGCTATGATCATGGCTGAAATGTGGCAAAGTGGTAGCAAAAAGCCACAAGGAAAAAAAAAATCAGATTGGCCGATTTAGGGCTTGGGGGCAGTGCCAGAAGCTTAGCCGCAGAAGGCAAAGCTCTGTTGGCATGGCATGGCATGGAGTGGCGTGTTGGGGCTTGGAGTTAGATTAGAAAAAATTTTTTTCTATTGTTCTTTTATATAAATTGTTATAAAAATGAGCTCTTCTTACTCTCTAATAAAGGACAATGAATCAAGAGTATCTAAATAAATAAAAAGATCAATTGTTCAAAATCTACAATATATCTGATTTTAGCCTTACCTTGCCAAAAAAAACTGCCTCTACTAATCGAGTATATTGAGAGGTGTGGGTTGGGTTTGTGAATTTTTTGGTGATTGTTTGGTTTGTGTTATCACCCATTTAGCCTCTGACAATTGTGGTGATGACTATGAGATATGACAAAATATCTTTTTGTCTCGCCCAAAATCCGTCTTTTGAATATGCGAGAATCCCATTGATTTTTTTGATTTTTTTTTTGTTAGTTTTTCTTGAGGAACTAAAGGAATAGTATACTCATTTTCGTTGGTTAGAAACCCGGACTGACAAACTATGTCTGCTTTGTTTTTTTTGAGTTTTTTTCAAATATGCCACAAATCCACCCTATAAAATCTGTTTCTAAAAAAAAAAAAGAGAAAATAAATGTAAAAAATATACAAACTAGCTGTATATAACCAACTATTAAGCTGAATTGAAGCCCAAACTACAAAGATACGACCATTGCATACTCAATGGAACCCCGAACGATGCCCTCAATGAGAGGTTTGGTGCTCCTATTGCAGAGTAGAAGACATCCTGGTAGTAAGTGCTCACACGTAACCCTCTTAGAAAAAAAGTGTGTTGCTCTTTTTACTACACTTACCAAAGAGCAAACCGATAAAGTCCAAAAAATCATCGAGGAGGCTCTAGGAATTGCCATCTCAAGAATGAACAAATTTTCAAGTCTTAGAATTCCTTTTGGAAGTATTAGAAGAAGTAAGCATAAGTGGCAGCTCATATAACAACACTGAAGAGGAAGAAGATATTGTATACCTACTACTATACATCCAATTGTCTCCACCCACAGAAAGAACTAAAAATCTGCCCGTAGTGCCCCCTGTAGCCCTTGTCCCAGAAGTTACTCTGCAAACGTCATGCCACGAAAAAGGCCAGATTATTAAAGTACTTGACACCTACTATGATTTCGACGAATCTACAGAACCACTTAAAGATGCTGTGCTTGGTTCTGAGAAAGGAGAAATTGATTTAGAATTATTTCTTGAAAAGCTTGCCGCTAAATGCAATACTCTCTTACAAAAGTGGGCCCAAGCAAAGAAAAAGAACTTACTCAAGAATCTCTGAAAGATAATAATGCTGAAAAGAATAAAGGAATCAAAGTCAGTAGCACAAATGTAATAAAGAAAAAAAATGATGAAAAAAACAAAAAGAAATAAATAAAAAAAAAGATACGTATAAAACATCCAATTGCTCTCTGAAATCAGCTAAAAAAGAAGAAAATCGGTGTTAAAAATGATGAATTTAAAGCATTCATATATAATCAAAAATCAGCTGATATGGAAAA